GGCCAGGCTGATCCCCAAAATACACTTTGTCCGCTGTTTGCACTGCGATGAAGCGTCGAAAAACCCTGAAAATCACTGAAAATGCCATTTGGGGCTCTCGGGAAAATGCGTATAACTCTTGAACGAAACACGCTAACTAGCTCGGTCTTACGCAGACCGAAATAGAACAATTTTCTCTATCGAATGGTGATGTCAAAATCGTAAATCCAATGGTAAATGCCTTCGGAATATTGCTTTAAAATGTTTATCAAGAATTCTACTGATTTTTTTCTTAAAACTCGCTTTTCGGTAGAATTTTAAAACTTTTCTAGAAACAAATATTGCCACGAGACGCAGCGTGGTGGATTACGCATAGTTTATCCGCCAGGCCTGGGATTCGTAGCAAATCCGATACAACGCCCTTATGCGTGGAAAATCAAGGTCTCTCAATTTGAAAAGGACACCCTGGGCTATCAGTCTGTGAAAACAAATCAGTACAATCCTATTGGAAAAATTTTTGTATTGAACCTTAGTGTATTTTTGGACAAAGGTTCGACCTCTAGACATTCAGCTAACTCTTCTATATTTATATATAACTCCTATATGTATACATAGAATGAAAAGCATTACTTTCGATTATCCATTTGAAGTACGTCTGATGTTTGTTTTTTTGAACGAAAATTAACGTTTGTCATCGATAAATATCCAACACTGGCAGTATCATCAACTGTCGATGATTTGCGATTTAAAAGAAATAATGATAAGAGACCAAGTAGTATTCCAGCTAAAAGACCTCCAACAATGGCTCCAGTTTGTGATCTGTAGGAATAAACAATTTTCTCACGAATTTGTTCTGTTATTTGTTGTACAATCAGCGTTGGCAGAATAGATGTGGTGGTGGTGGCGGCAGTAGTGACTGGGTCTGATGACGTAGCTTTAGCAGTTCCTGTAGTAGTGGAAATAGTTGTGAAACTTGCTTCTGTCGTCGTACTAGATTGATAAAATAGATTATAATGTTCAAGCTCATCCAATGTATTGGATATAGCTTTTATTGTAATGATTGTGACCGTGTTGTCCAACGTTGGCATATCAAATTCAAACTGATTTCCGGTATTGATTGCTTCACTCAATCTTCTTTTAGCTTCGCCAATATCTAATTCATCTGTTCGATTTAATAATGGTGTTTTATCCAGAAGGGTAAATAAAACATAAATTTGGTTGCTTTGTTGATCATGATCAATTTCCAAATTTGATATACGTGACTGTGCAATATTCATTGCATTCATTAGCCGTTCAAAAATATGTTCGTGAAGTCGATGTCGATCCAAATGATTATTATCAAACACATCGGACGTACCGCCTTGTTCAATTTTCAAATTAAATGTCAAATGTTTGTAACCGAGATCATTTGAACGGTAACATTGACTAATGTCAAATTCATCTTGATGTACATCTGTATTAAATTCATAAAATTGATATTCAATATTTTCCTTTCGAATGTCAAATAAATCGGAATTTATTCCTTGTTTCAAAAATTTTAAATATAAATGTATGGGATAATCAAACTGTTTTATTTGATCCTCTAGCGACGGTGGTGCCGATGGCTGTCTAAATGCCCAGGCCCATTCGACAATAGTAGAGTCCCACGTTTCGCGGGTCTCCGGGATCGGTGGAAATTTATCATGTGTCGTTGTGAAGATTGCACATGATATAGCAGCGCCACGACATTTTCTTATACCACTATATTGAAATGCTTTCTTCGGTGGATTATCGATGAACAAATCTTCATATTTAATAAAGAACTCAATAGGGTATTTGGTGACATCCTGTGATTTGTCCTCGAAGAATCCCTGTTGTGTACGCTCAACCTTACATGCACCCAAACGTCGATCAATTGTATATCGTAACTGATTCGTATAGTCCAGTATAACTGTTTGATGGTTATCCCCAACGGGTTGATAATCATATCGAATCATTTTTTGCTGTCGGCGCCGTTCAAACCGCATATGAAATGTTTTCAAATTGGCTTCTCGCGATGTTAAAGCTTCCACTCGAACACTGAACCGTTGTGGCCAAGCGACTCCTTACAACGAAAGAACAAAAGCAAAGTGTTATTCACTTTTAAGCAATCTTTACAACAAGATACCTTGTTCTTCCAAACTCAATAGATCTTCGGGCTTTTGAAGATTTTCACACCAAACACCTTTTGGTGGTGATAACTGGTCAGCTGTTTCCAGAATGCCTGGTTTATATGAGATAACATTAAAAATTTCATCAGTTCTATTTTGTGATGAATTATTAAGGTAAATAGATGCCTTAATGATTGCTTGAACGGGTACGGATGTTAGTATCGGTCCTATTGACATTACGTATTCTGGTTTAGCGAATGACCATTCTCTTCTTATTGTACGATATGTTAAGCTCTCAATCAGGCACGTTTCCCATTGATCAACTAGAATGCCACGGACAGTTGCATTGCCCAAATATCGTGGTCTAATAGGTGTCATAGGGTTATTTGATGAAAATAATAAGAGTTCTTCCAATGGTCGAATATGAAGTATATTGTTAGTGATAATGGCTGAGGAACCATCATATGGATCATTCACTCGAATATCTGTAACATTACCTAAGAGAAAGAAAGAATGAATGACTATTACGCTTAAAACTTGAGTTCTCTCTTCCAAGGTTAATCTTCTATCGCGGTGTCCTGACGACGAAATCGTTGAGATAGTTTCAACTTACAAAAATCTCGTGCAAAATATTTTGCTTTTTTTCCGGCTGCATAATAATAATATTCCACTGATCGTATGTTATTTTCATTTTTAGCAACAATGAGACTGTTTGCATCATAATCATAAATGTATTCGTACATTGATTGTTTGATTGTACGCAAAGCTGTACCACTAATATTAGAATTTAATATCTCAACAACTTCAAGTGCAAATTCAGCTTTTGATGGGAAAGTTGGAAATTGTACATCTGACGGTGGCGGCTGAATATCTGTCAAGTTGCATATTGCTGGATCACTATTGAAGTCTTGCTTTTGTTGTCTTGCGGTAGGTGGAAGCCACAGAAATAAAATTAACTGGATTATTTTCATTTTTAAAGAAGGCATGATAAAACTAAAATTTTGAATACTTTCCGATAAAAAGCATCAAAATCTTATTCATGACTTTAATGTGTCATTTTTCTAAGAAAAAATTTCTTATCTCTATGCAAACAAGCATCATCTTCTTTCTTGCATCCTCTTGTGTTGTTTGTCGTTTCACTTATTCTATCTTGTAAGTGAAAGCAATAAGCATGCACTATTGTTACTATTCAATTCTTATTCTAACAATAGTTTTCCATTGTACTATTGTGAAAGCTCAACAGTTTAGCATTTGTGCTGGGGGACAGCCAACTTCCGTTCAAGATCCACGATGGTACTCTGTACCATCTCGATTTGAGATTATTGGAGAAATTACTATGGCAGATGGCGCATTTGAAGTTAGTCAGACATTTAGTGCTAATCGTGATGCAATTTATCTGACTATTAGAGGCCAAACAATTCAACATTATTATTATTACGATACCAACGAATATTTTACCATCAGCCATTTTGTTCTAGATGATATATTAACACCAATTTGTGCACGTACTGCTATAACTGATCAATTTGCAACAAGTAATATATCGCAAACGGTTGTTAAACCTTCAATTCTTCTGGGATATGATTCACGAAACAATGAAAATCAACAATGGGGTACACGATTTCAAAAAGAAACAACGATTCGAGGTATTCCAGTTGACGTATTTCAAGCTTGTTTTTATGTGCCTGATATACAAACAACAATTGAAGCGACATACTACATTAGTAACGTAAAAGAATTTCAATGAGGTTAGTGGCAAAGGACATTCAAATAAGGCTTCTGTTGTAGTTGAATATTTGGTTTTATCATCCAGCAAAACGTCATTAACAAATGATCTTAAAGTTATCTGGGCTCAAACCGTCCAATCCCATTACAAATCGATGTCAAAAGTTTATCGAACGATGGCCAAGTACAACAATACTTCTATAATATATTTCGATATGTTCCACAACCATCGTCTAGTGAACAAATGAAATCATTACAAACACCACCAGGTGAGTGTCGTCATTGATTTCCATTCATTTTAAACGAAGAACTCTCGAACAGAAATAGATAAAAAGTCTCACGATTTTCGCTATATGATAGGCCAGAATTCCGAATATATATTTACTAGCAAAAAATATTTGGAGAAAACTTCACCAATCTGATTTCTAAGACTCTTGTAAAACTAGTGCATAATCCAAAAATTTAGAGTGGCAATTTAATGATTTTTTTCCTAAACAAATAGTCTAAGGTATCTTCTTACAAAATGATAGTAGTTTCTGCACATTTTCAGGTATATTTTGTAGAAATCGAACCAATACTCTTGGATTACCTAAAAATCTTCCTGATCGTTTATCTATTAATACTGAATTATTGATTCCATTTAATAATTATTCAATTGTTAGTGGACATGAAACATATGATAAACATTTTCAATTTGTTAAATATGATGTATATTTATCAAACCAGCAACATCAGACTGAAATACATGATTATAACACCGGGTTAACTTATCGATATGAACATCAAACTAAGAGATGTACAGTGGGCAACATAACAACAAGTTCAAATGATGCTGTAGCAGTCGATGATCATCCGAATTTTGTGCGAATGAGAGATGGACCAGATTTTCTTCTATTAAATGATATTGATTTTCATTATGCAGGTATCAGGCAGTGTCGAGATCATGTCCAATGTCATGTATGGATTGGAGAGAAACCACATCCAGATAATAAAGGTTTTGAGCATCGTGAGTGGTATTGGGCGTTTGAAGTTAATAACATTCAATTATCCGAATTTGTTCCATTAAAAATGATTATAAGTGAACTGAATTTTGAAGGAAAGAAACTGTCATCAGTAGAAGTCTGTAAGTGTCTGAAAACCGTTTTTTTTCTTCTGGATCACGCTGAGAACTGGCTACCTTAGGAGAGAAAAATACTTTGGCTGGTACTTCTAAAAATGTAACCAACAAAAATCCAATTAATAAATCGAGATTCTTTTCTTGTCGTTTTTTGTAGCCATGTTTAATTTCAATCGAAATCCAAATACTATTTATGAAATCGATCGTACGTTGGCTGATTGTTATCGAGCAATGGGTCCTAGTAACGGCTATAATTATGTCGTTATTCTTTTTAAATTAAATAATGATAAACAATATCCCGTTCAACAAAATATTCGATATCTTCAACTGCAAATTTGGCAAACAATGACATCAGTATTAAATTTAAGACCAATTCGTCTTTCCAATATTCTTATAGATCCCATAAATAAAGATCTTCTTGTTTCAATGACTTTATTAGATGTACCGCCAACGTTTGGCCCGGTTGAAAATCCTATTAATGAATTAAAAGTGAATATAATACTTGAACAGATGCATAGATTGATTAATAATAATGAATTGGCTTTTCGAGCTAAATATGATACAAAAGAAGTCTTGTTACGAGTTAGACCACAGTCATTGGGTGTATTATTATCTTCCGGTGAAACATATAAAAATTTTGTTGAACAAATACCTCAACATCGTAATCAAACCGTGCCTGAAATAATTATTCGTACAAGAGACATTTTCATAACAAAGCATTCTGGTCCAAAAATTACTGCATTTATATTCGGATTTATGCTTTTGGGATTGGTACTAACAGTAGCAGTGGGAACGATTGTTCTACATATTAAAAAGCGAAAATGACGACACATACTAAAAGAGATGAAAAGTGCTCTCTTGTCTCACGTAGATATTTGAAGAAGAAAAACTTTCCTGAAGAACTATCGGATATTATATAATATATGTGAACAGGACTAATACATTTTTAAAAATTACGCTAAACAACTGAACCGGCTCCAGTACGGCTATTGGACTGAAAGCGAAGTGATTACTCAGAAAAACGGATTTTGTTGAGCGTGATGACGCCAGTTGTTGCGTTATTTTGAGCAATGTAATCTCCAGAGCGAACTATCTCTTAATGGCTCTTAAGCGAATATGTTCTTAGTCAAAGGTTATTCTTGTTTGCAGAAAGTAACTTTTTATAATTAAGCACAACTTACTAGATGGTGATAATGTGCTTGTTAGAACATCCTCAGATGATTACAGTATGAGAAAGGAAGTACATACATTTAACACGCTTAGATTTAACGGATAAATCCCGATTGCCTGAGGAAAACATGGCACGTCCCTACTCGAGTAGCGTATATGGAGATAAACTTGAATATAAACTGATCATTATCAAATATTCAAATCAATCTATTTGTTCAAATGTAGTTTCGATGCTCAACAAGGTGATCAGCTCAGGCATATTATGACCAATTGCGTGGTGGTCTGCTAGAGCTGATGGACAAGTAAGTTCGTACTTACATTGCTTTGTTATGCCTAAAGATGTACGTCATACAATTCTGCACAACTCTGTTGTCTCAGAATATTTTTAAACGAGACACGCTCAGAAACACAACAAGGAACCGAAGCCGATCATTGAGCACTGAAAAATCTTTGCTGAAATTACAATATACATTTAAAGATTAATTTGATATTAAACAAGTATTAAAATTACAATTAACATCTGTTATTAATAGTGCTGATAATGTTGATGAAGCTTCACACAGGCAATCGTATATCGCATTAAATAAAAATAAATTCCTACCAAGAGAAATATTTTATTAGAAATAAATAAAAGAAGTTCAAAGAGTACAAATGACCGTTCATCATCGAACGGAAATAATTTCACAAGAATCACAAGAACCACACATGACTTTGATTTAAACTTTATTTATTTTAAACCATAGCATCACGCTATCGAGTGACAAAGCACTCATTATTGACACAAATTATTAATTGCAATACACAATCACAGTTCAGGATGGAGAGTAACAGAAAAAATTGAATAAAAATTATAATAATAACCAGAGGCAAAAGAAAAGTTTAGTAAAAAAGATAACATGATGGTATAAATAGGGGCTACTCGGTGTGGAAATAAACTGACTTATTGAAAATTTTTTGTTTCTTCTATAAAGAGATTCACTCTGTCACATATCACTTTCTGTGCGTCCATATCAAAAGTCGAAACATTTAGTAGTAAAATGTTTGCTTGCAGATTTTTAATGAAATTTAGCTTAAGAGAAAGTTCTTTACGGTACTGATCATATAATGAACAGCGAAGAAGGTACCCCTGAGGGCATTTTCGATAAATTTATCGCGATAAATGATATTTTTATCCACCCGTTACCGATTTTTCTGGTATTTATCTAAAGGAAAAATTCATCGCGATAAAGAACTTTTTCATCACAGAAATCTCTTTTATCGCGATACCTGTCGATAAATATATCATATTATAATTTGTTATGATTTATCGCGGTGAATTTTTCCTTTCGATAAATAGTAGAAAATCGGTGACGGGTGGATAAAAATATCATTTATCGCGATAAATTTCATGTTAATAACATGAATAACATTAAGCGCCGTCTTGGTTGCCGTCGACGGCAACCAACGGCTGTTCTTATAAGAACAGCCGTCCTTAGATTTGGTCCGAAAATTTTGAAAACCATATGGCCTGATAGAGCCAAAAATTCTGAACCAAATAAGACATCTGCCAGCATTCTGCAGGGCTTTTTCACCGGAATATATCGGCGACTTTCACGCCCTTTGTAGCTAATGGTAAATCGACTGCAGTTACGTGAAAGAGGACTATAGAATGCCACTAGATGTCTTATTTTGTTTAGAATTCTTCGCTCTATCAGGCCATATGGTTTGCAAAATTTTCGGACCAAAACCTTTCTCAGAAGCTCTATTATCAACTTTTCTCATGAAAGGGCGATATGCATCTCTGATAGAAAAATCTTCGGGCTATTCAAAACATTATTCAGATTGGTTCTAGCTTTTACTAAAAAGTCAAAAACAAGGGAGTTCTTGTGATTATGACACACTGTACTGCTTAGGTAACACCTAAAAGCTTTTTTTCCATATCTTTAATGACTGGCCCCACCTTTCTGGATATTGTGACCAGCTTACTTTGTAGAGAATTTCAAGGACTATCCAATGGTATGTTTTTGAACAATATAAATTTTTTCGTTATGGCAGAAAAACGACTAACAGAGTGTTCAAGGCATTAAGGTGGAAATCATTATATCGGCCAATTGGCCGATATGATTGGACGTTCATAATAATTACCACATCGATCAAAGTGTTGCATTAACTGGACGCGAGAAAACAAATTCGAAGAGAAATAGAGTATACTACCAATTCAAACTGCAGCAGAAATTTTCTTGTTCAAAAAGACGGAAAGAGAATCTCTGGCAAAGAGGAATCATACCGAAACACAATATACCCATGACCCTTGAAAAAAACACATAATACTATAACTAGAAGCTCAATCGTGATATTTTTATCATGGTTTTTAAAAACCACGATAATTTTCCTCGGAAATTATCGAGATGAATCAGTTATCTTCGGTAATCTTACTACTATCGGAATTTTTAAAGAAAGTGCGCGGAAGAAAAGCTTATAACTTTTGAACGGAAAGTCATAGCAACCTGCGGTTTTCAGGGTTCAATAGACGACAGTCGGGGGCACAAGCCTACAAAATTAAGGACAAATTAGCGAACTTTTTAGAGGGAATTTTTTTCGCAGCGTTTGCACCCCGACATGCCCTCTGCACATTGGTATCTAAGCAATTTCTAGATTTCGCTTCCTTGAAAGACCCGAGGCCTTTTAAGGAAGAAACTTCATGTAGACTAACAGATATGCCACGCGAAAATGAAAAACAAGATATATATGTGCGTGAAAGTTGTTTAAGTTATTTCTTTAGAAATATATGTTATTCTGTTTCGTAGGCTAAATCTGGTCTGAAAAAGTACCTAGGAAGATCACTTTTCCACGTTGGCATGTACCCCCGACTGTCGTCTATTGAACCCTGAAAACCGCAGGTCGCTATGCCTTTCCGTTCAAAAGTTAAAAGCTTTTCTTCCACGCGCTTTCTTTAAAAATTCCGATAGTAGTTATTGCTATGTTCTTTCATATCGAGACAAAACAAGGGAAAATTAATCTCCTCATTCATAGGGATAAAAATTTAATCGCGATACTTTTAGCTTCTTGTCGAGATGACCCTTTTATCACGATAATACTCGATAAAAATCTATTGGAGTTTATCGCGATACTTTTGCTTTTGGAGATAAAGATCACACATACAACGATAGTACTTTTATCAGGATAAAGTCCGGTAAATATTAATCGCGGTTTATTGACATACTGGTATTTACAACGCTAAATGATTTGTATACCGCGATAGTTTTGCCTACTGCGTTTTATCGAGAGACTGCGATAAACTGCACTCACTTTTACATCGCGACAGAGTTGCTCATTATAGCGATATTTCAGCACATTTAGCATACTATCTCGATATATCGCAAGTTTTCAACAAAAATTACCCCCATGGGTAATTATCAGTTGATTCAGCTTCACATTCACATGCACCCATTGAAGACTGAATGCATTTTCTCCTGTGTAACTGGCAATTGAGTTGAGGAAAGTTTGCTTTCAGATGCATAATATTACTTCTGCCTGTCTATTCAAAGATGTCAATTGCTTAGAAATTAGCAACAGTGAAAATCAAAAATAAAGAAGAAAACCTTTTTTACACACCTTCAACATATATTTTGGTAAAACATCATGTTAAAAGATAGAGAAATATTTTATAACAAACAGACGTTGCAATTAGTTTTAAGAAAGGAGTATGAATCAGAAAAATACTTCTCAAAAACTAGAAAGAAATTGATTATACGAACATCGGAGTAATATACAAAATTAGTTGTGACAAATGTCACAAAGTTTATATTAGTCAAACCCTTAGAAAAATCCACTCGTATTTATCGTAAAAGTGTATTATTCAACGTCTAGATACCAACAGGAACCCAATAGAAAATATGTATATACAAGAGCTCATCTTTATTTTAATTTCAATTAGAAAGTTTGATGCGTCGATCTGATGTGTGTTACCTTAGCCACAGTGGTCTTGAACTATTTAAACATTGTATAGTCATTATACTGCAGCGGCATCAAGACTTCGGACGACAAGATAAAATACAATGTGATGACATTGATTCTAATAATCTTATATTGTGATAGAGATTCATACTGATCAACTAGAGAATATATTTATTAACAAGAATTGCGTTGAACTATTATGGATAATAATGGCAGAAAAATTGTTTATTACAGCAGACGATTGATTTATCGAATTAAGTATTACTTATCAATATATGCTGCTAATTGCCAGTTTAGATGATAATTCTTATTTTTCTCGATAATTAATCTGTTTAAGAGTTCTTTTTCCATAAACGTTTCTCTGTGTCGGGATATGTCGATATTTAATTTATTCAGGTGTTGTCTTATGCCATTCTCACGTTAACTTGGTGCATCTTGCCCACACATCACTAAATCAGCAATCAGTTATTTTTTATTTGATATAATACGACAGAATTTCATAAATTTGAGTTAAAAATAGGTGCATAAGAGGAGTAATGATCAATTAATATTATATTTTCTGTACAATAATTTTATTGAAATGGTACATTATATTTCAACAGTAGATCTAATATATTTACGTTTGTCTGGCACATATTCACTGAATGAGATGGTAGTTGGGAATTGCTGAATGAATATATCATCTGTTGAATTTTTTTGTCCCTCTATTGTATTTAATT